TCAAATCCCCCGGGCATCATGCCCACCCAACATTATTAGTTGGGCGCAAGGGAGTGAAGTACGAGCATAAATCACCTGGAAGGCTAAGGCCGTAAAGTGTACGATAGCGTTGCAAGGTGATTGTATGCTCTCCAGGACACATGCAGAAGTGCCAATGTTGAATCCCCCGACCTGGAAACCCTCGCACCTCACTGAACTCAGAACAGGATCCGGAGGATTCAATCTATTAGCACTCTTCCCCCGAGAGTCATTACGACTTTCGAAATTACGGAGGATTTTCCTCCAGAAACGTTCTTTGTCCTCGCTGAGGGGTCGCAGGCTGCAAAGAAACTGAGGCCCAGACAGTGCAAGCATGTCAAACAACAACTGAGCTAGCGAAACATGCATTGGATGCGACTCTCAGACAAAGGCCATGCGTGACATGTTTCCCCCGGAGCCTTTTGCGTACTGCAAACAATGACACAGCAATCCTACCCACCTAAAGGAGTAACATACGTACGAGGCATCGATTTAGCTCCATGGGTGTTCACGCGGGTGGTTCCCCCCAGTACGATGGGCTGTTTCGTATCCCCCGGGACGCTACGTAGCAGTTACATGAAGATCACACAAACAGCATCATCAAACCTTTGTTTTTGGGAGGCCGTTGTCGACATATCCTTCGGGACCACTTGTTGTGCAAAACAAGGACACAGCTCTACTTCACACCTAAAGGAGCAACATGCGTAGAAGCGTTGGCGGGGTCCTGAAGGTATCGCTTCCCCGACTATATGAGGACGATGCTTTGCGACTTGTGAGACACTCCCCCTGAGCCAGGTCGTTCAAGTAAAACAATGGCACAGCAGTGCTAAACACCTAGAGGAGTACCATGTGTAAAGTTCAGTTTTGCGCTGGCTCTGGAGGGACGGCAGTTACGTAGTGGCATGTCGTGGGGTAGGGTCTGACCTAAGTGGGGCAAGTACATGAATGGGATCTGAGGGACCGAGGTAGAGGTACTTCCCCCGTGTGGGCTCTGCTTTCCCCCTCTCAGCGGCTGCTTCAGAGGAGGTCGTGGTACGAGCTCAGTCGTCGTGAAGGGCTGCGTGCATGCGGCGGCGCCGGTGGCTGACTAAGCCGAAGCTGTCCTCCTCACTTTCCACCGCTACGGTGGGGCTGCGTTGTTCTCCCCCTGGTGCATTGCCCAAACCATGGTGGCGATCATGGAGCCACCTCCCCCCGTTGGCAAAGGAGTCGTCTTCCAGTGGCATCCCCCGGTCTTGCAGGGGCTGCGGTGCTGTTCCTTCGGCTGGAGGGAGCAGCTCCTCGACTTCTTCGAGCGCACGGAGAAGGGCTGCATGGATCGTGTTGATCTCCCCCGGCGCCCAATCTGCAAGGCGGGTGCGCAAGTCCTGAAGCTCGAGGAGGATCCCCCGTGTTTGCCTCTGTCTTTTTTCACGGGTGAGGTTGGAGGTCAGTGTCCCCCGCATCTCTGCCATCACATCTGCTGGGTGAGCTACTGCTTCCCCGTTCGTGATGGCCTCGAGGAACATAGCTGTCTCTGCTAGCTGGACCCAGTGCTCGGGGCGGTCCGCTGTCTGGATGCCGTGCAGTGCCGAGCCCAGGTTGCGGACTGCTCGTCCGATGGCCTCTCCATGAGGCACGACATCTGACGAGGAGGACGAGGAACTTCCCCGGGTCTGCGTTACCATGCTGTTCAACCAGGCGATTATGATGTCCACGTCATGCTGAATATCATAGTATGATATATAGATGTGCAAATCCTCGGCAGAGGCCAGCCTTCGTTGAGCTTTGGCAAGTAGTCGCTGAAGTGCTAGCGCTGCTGGGTTTGTGTTGTCGGTGTCTCTTTTTTGTCTCTTTGGGGGTTGTCCCCGGTGCTGGTGTGGTGTTCCTGTTTTGTTGCTCGATCTCGAGGTGTGAGAGGAGCTGCTGTTCTGTCTGGCTGTCGACCAGGAGATCGCTGAGCGCGCACTGTGCTAGGGTTGCAATTGTTCCTCCCCCTGGAAGTTGTGTGGCTGCTTGGTATATACGAAGGAGGCTGGCTTCAACGCGGTCGGTTGTGGTGTTGTGGTGTGGGTGAGTTGGGTGGGGGTTGGGCTGGGTCGCTGGGTCCGTAGTGTTGTCTCGTTGCGTGATGGCCGGTTCTGTGGCAGGCTGCGGCAGTGTTGTGGCGCGTGGCTGTGGCTGTGGGTGGATGACTGGGGTGGTTTGCACGAGGCTGTGGTGGTCAGGTTGCGTGGTGGTGGGTGTTGTCCCCGAGCTGGTGGTGGTACTTGTGGTGTGACCACTGTAGTCGGAGTAGTTTGTCTTGGTCCCAGTGGTGCTGGTCGTGGTTGGGGTCTGTGGCTGTGTTGGAGGGGTGCGCGTCTTGCCGATGCGTCTGCCATCCCGCACTTGTGCGAAT